GACGTAAAATAACCATTGTCTTCATATATGTTCCTTCTGCAAAACTATTACATGCAGCTTACATAAAATTAAGTACTTAAACAAAATCCATAATATTATTCAACTACATTTTCTCAAACTCAACTAGATTTCCTACCATACCAATAGACATAGTACAATAGATTTAGCCCTTACAAAGAACTTATATTCTTTCTGAACTTATGACCAAATCTTATTTAACTCAGATCACAATCCAGTCTTTATAAGTATCTCTAACCCACTTGACGACAACCTCAGTCCTACAAGAATGCTTGAGACTATAATAAAGCCAATGGCCGCTATATAAGAAAATAATAAATAATAATATATGTCACAACAGACAAATCGAGAACAATGATAATATAGATCAAGCTGTAGAATACCTAACAACTACTATACTGATGCCATAAGTAAAACCATTCATTGCGAAAGTCACTTCAACACAAACAATTAGTTTACCTTGGGAAATTATATCCAAATTAAATTAAAAAGTTGTGGTAAAAATCAGGCGCCACGTTCCTCAAAGGGCATATAAACAGACTTACTAGAATAATTACTGAGGATATTAGGGTTTATCGTAATAAAATATAGGCTGATAAACTAATAAATATTATCCAAATAAAATTTGGTACACTGCAAAAAGACTAACCCAAACTTCTACTCCCATACCATATTTACATATGAATTCCAAAAATTTTGCAACGACACCCGAACAAAAGGCCCAAATTTTAGCATCCAATTTCGAATTAGCACATCAGTACAATCTTTCTATTGCTCAAAATGCTTTTGAACATAATGTTAGTTCCAGGGTAAGACAATATATAAACGATACTGGTAACATAAATCACAAAATAGAGATAGTGACAGTTGCGGAAGTTAAAAATATTGTTAAGAAACTGTCTAACAAAAAAGCTCGGGGACCAGATAGTATACAGAACTTAGCAATTAAACAGTTACCTATTAAAGCTATTATTCTACTTATACGAATAACGAATAATATGTTCACAAATGGATCCTGAACGACACAAATAAAAGTATCTTTTTTTGGTTTATTTTCCATAGCAAACTATACCTAGTACATTCAGCTATATATTATTACAGCGTGAGAAAAATAAAATATATATTAAAATAAAAATATATATAAAAATAAAATATATTATTTGACAGCGTGAGAAAAATAAAATTATCTAATAATTTAAAGTATGTAAATTAAATATATATTTAAAGACTGTGATTTTTTTTTGTAAGAATGTTTCAACTATCTTTTTTTTCGATCACAAACCGTTATTTTATTTTATACAAAATGTGTAATTTAAAGTGGATAATTTGTAGAATTAAGTTAGAGTAAAATACTTTTAGTAGTAAACTCATAAAGCATTGTTATTGTATATTATATTGAAATAAAACAAAAATAAACTAAAAAAAATAATTAAGCAATGCAAAGAATTCTCAATAAACACCGAGACCACATTACCAAAGATTTTAAATCCAATAAATATCTTCAGAACCGATAAAAGATACAATTCTGAACACGACGACAGATTTCCTCAGAAACTGCGAATTTAGGTCAATTCTAATCATAACTAGTGGTGCATGGCATCGTGCCTTAAGGCAAATTGCGGGAACTTCCCGTACCGCAATCAAAAATTTTGGTGCGAAACTCTAATCTAAATCAAATATTCTTGAAGTTAACGTCGTTTTACACAAACAGTTATACACCTGGACTACCCCTTTGTCACTCTAGTTTTCCTCAGATCGAATAAACCTTTCGCCTTTTACTATAGATTTCCGTGGAGGGGAGCACTCAAATGAGACTATTCTCAATTTTTTGTGAGCCTGGCATTCACTTGCTGGGCCGATGATAATCTAAATCAAATATTCTTGAAGTTAACGTCATTTTACACAAACAGTTATAGACCTGGACTACCCCTTTGTCACCCTAGTTTTCCTCAGAGCGAATACACCTTTCGCCTTTTACTACAGATTTCCGTGGAGGGGAGCACTCAAATGAGACTATTCTCAATTTTTTGTGATCCTGGCATTCACTTGCTGGGCCGATGATAATCTAAATCAAATATTCTTGAAGTTAACGTCGTTTTACACAAACAGTTATACACCTGGACTACCCCTTTGTCACTCTCGTTTCCCTCAGAGCGAATAAACCTTGCGCCTTTTACTACAGATTTCCGTGGATTTTCTTTTTCGAGCGAATAAAACCCGAAGTTCAAGTACTTATCGCATATAGGGATAGATGTCGCTGCTGTGTTTACTTTGTGGAATTCATATGCTGGACGGCCCCAAAATACAGACCCTATATTGTTAAGCAATGCCTCGACTACCTGTTTGTCACTCTGGTTTCCCTTCAGAGCGAATAAATCTTTCGCCTTTTACTAAAGATTTCCGTGGAGGGGCGCACTCAAATGAGACTATTCTCAATTTTTTGTGAGCCTGGCATACACTTGCTGGGCCGATGATAATCTAAATCAAATATTCTTGAAGTTAATTCAGATTCCCTTCAGAGCGAATAAATCTTTCGCCTTTTAATAAAGATTTTCGTGGAGGGGAGCACTCAAATGAGACTATTCTCAATTTTTTGTGAGCCTGGCATTCACTTGCTGGGCCGATGATAATCTAAATCAAATATTCTTGAAGTTAACGTCATTCTACACAAACAGTTATAGACCTGGACTACCCCTTTGTCACTCTAGTTTTCCTCAGAGCGAATAAACCTTTCGCCCTTTACTACACATTTCCGTGGAGGGGAGCATTCAAATGAGACTATTCTCAATTTTTTGTGAGTCTGGCATTCACTTGCTGGGCCGATGATATCTAAATCAAATATTCTTGAAGTTAACGTCGTTTTACACAAACAGTTATACACTTGGACTACCCCTTTGTCACTCTCGTTTCCCTCAGAGCGAATGAATCTTTCGCCTTTTACTAAAGATTTCCGTGGAGGAGAGCACTCAAATGAGACTATTCTCAATTTTTTGTGAGCCTGGCATTCACTTGCTGGGCCGATGATAATCTAAATCAAATATTCTTGAAGTTAAGGTCGTTTTACACAAACAGTTATACACCTGGACTACCCCTTTGTCACTCTAGTTTTCCTCAGAGCGAATAAACCTTTCGCCTTTTACTACAGATTTCCGTGGAGGGGAGCACTCAAATGAGACTATTCTCAATTTTTTGTGAGCCTGGCATTCACTTGCTGGGCCGATGATAATCTAAATCAAATATTCTTGAAGTTAATTCAGATTCCCTTCAGAGCGAATAAATCTTTCGCCTTTTACTAAAGATTTCCGTGGAGGGGCGCACTCAAATGAGGACTATTCTCATTTTTTTGTGAGCCTGGCATACACTTGCTGGGCCGATGATAATCTAAATCAAATATTCTTGAAGTTAATTCAGATTCCCTTCAGAGCGAATAAATCTTTCGCCTTTTACTAAAGATTTTCGTGGAGGGGAGCACTCAAATGAGACTATTCTCAATTTTTTGTGAGCCTGGCATTCACTTGCTGGGCCGATGATAATCTAAATCAAATATTCTTGAAGTTAACGTCATTCTACACAAACAGTTATAGACCTGGACTACCCCTTTGTCACTCTAGTTTTCCTCAGAGCGAATAAACCTTTCGCCTTTTACTACAGATTTCCGTGGAGGGGAGCACTCAAATGAGACTATTCTCAATTTTTTGTGAGCCTGGCATTCACTTGCTGGGACGATGATAATCTAAATCAAATATTCTTGAAGTTAACGTCGTTTTACACAAACAGTTATACACCTGGACTACCCCTTTGTCACTCTAGTTCTCCTCAGAGCGAATAAACATTTCGCCTTTTACTACAGATTTCAGTTGATTTTCTTTGTCGAGCGAATAAAACCCGAAGTTCAAGTACTTATCGCATATAGGAATAGATGTCGTTGGTGTGTTTACTTTGTGGAATTCATACGCTGGCCGGCCCCAAAATACAGACCCTATATTGTTAAGCAACGCCTCGACTACCTGTTTGTCACTCTGGTTCCCTTCAGAGCGAATAAATCTTTCGCCTTTTACTAAAGATTTCCGTGGAGGGGAGCACTCAAATGAGACTATTCTCAATTTTTTGTGAGCCTAGCATTCACTTGCTGGGCCGATGATAATCTAAATCAAATATTCTTGAAGTTAACGTCGTTTTACACAAACAGTTATACCCCTTTGTCACTCTCGTTTCCCTCAGAGCGAATAAACCTTGCGCCTTTTACTACAGATTTCCGTGGATTTTCTTTTTCGAGCGAATATAACCCGAAGTTCAAGTACTTATCGCATATAGGGATAGATGTCGCTGCTGTGTTTACTTTGTGGAATTCATACGCTGGCCGGCCCCAAAATACAGACCCTCGACTACCTGTTTGTCACTCTGGTTTCCCTTCAGAGCGAATAAATCTTTCGCCTTTTACTAAAGATTTCCGTGGAGGGGAGCACTCAAATGAGACTATTCTCAATTTTTTGTGAGCCTAGCATTCACTTGCTGGGCCGATAATCTAAATCGAATGATAATCTAATCAAATATTCTTGAAGTTAACGTCATTTTACACAAACAGTTATAGACCTGGACTACCCCTTTGTCACTCTAGTTTTTCTCAGAGCGAATAACCCTTTCGCCTTTCACTACAGATTTCCGTGGAGAGGAGCACTCAAATGAGACTATTCTCAATTTTTTGTGAGCCTAGCATTCACTTGCTGGGCCGATGATAATCTAAACCAAATATTCTTGAAGTTAACGTCGTTTTACACAAACAGTTATACTCCTGGACTACCCCTTTGTCACTCTCGTTTCCCTCAGAGCGAATAAACCTTGCGCCTTTTACTACAGATTTCCGTGGATTTTCTTTTTCGAGCGAATAAAACCCGAAGTTCAAGTACTTATCGCATATAGGGATAGATGTCGCTGCTGTGTTTACTTTGTGGAATTCATACGCTGGCCGGCCCCAAAATACAGACCCTATATTGTTAAGCAACGCCTCGACTACTTGTTTGTCACTCTGGTTTCCCTTCAGAGCGAATAAATCTTTCGCCTTTTACTAAAGATTTCCGTGGAGGGGCGCACTCAAATGAGACTATTCTCAATTTTTTGTGAGCCTGGCATTCACTTGCTGGGCCGATGATAATCTAAATCAAATATTCTTGAAGTTAATTCAGATTCCCTTCAGAGCGAATAAATCTTTCGCCTTTTACTAAAGATTTTCGTGGAGGGGAGCACTCAAATGAGACTATTCTCAATTTTTTGTGAGCCTGGCATTCACTTGCTGGGCCGATGATAATCTAAATCAAATATTCTTGAAGTTAACGTCATTCTACACAAACAGTTATAGACCTGGACTACCCCTTTGTCACTCTAGTTTTCCTCAGAGCGAATAAACCTTTCGCCTTTTACTACAGATTTCCGTGGAGGGGAGCACTTAAATGAGACTATTCTCAATTTTTTGTGAGCCTGGCATTCACTTGCTGGGACGATGATAATCTAAATCAAATATTCTTGAAGTTAACGTCGTTTTACACAAACAGTTATACACCTGGACTACCCCTTTGTCACTCTAGTTCTCCTCAGAGAGAATAAACCTTTCGCCTTTTACTACAGATTTCAGTTGATTTTCTTTGTCGAGCGAATAAAACCCGAAGTTCAAGTACTTATCGCATATAGGAATAGATGTCGTTGGTGTGTTTACTTTGTGGAATTCATACGCTGGCCGGCCCCAAAATACAGACCCTATATTGTTAAGCAACGCCTCGACTACTTGTTTGTCACTCTGGTTTCCCTTCAGAGCGAATAAATCTTTCGCCTTTTACTAAAGGTTTCCGTGGAGGGGAGCACTCAAATGAGACTATTCTCATTTTTTTGTGAGCCTGGCATTCACTTGCTGGGCCGATGATAATCTAAATCAAATATTCTTGAAGTTAACGTCGTTTTACACAAACAGTTATACACCTGGACTACCCCTTTGTCACTCTAGTTTTCCTCAGATCGAATAAACCTTTCGCCTTTTACTACAGATTTCCGTGGAGGGGAGCACTCAAATGAGACTATTCTCAATTTTTTGTGAACCTGGCATTCACTTGCTGGGCCGATGATAATCTAAATCAAATATTCTTGAAGTTAACGTCATTTTACACAAACAGTTATAGACCTGGACTACCCCTTTGTCACTCTAGTTTTCCTCAGAGCGAATAAACCATTTTGCCCTTTACTACACATTTCCGTGGAGGGGAGCATTCAAATGAGACTATTCTCAATTTTTTGTGAGTCTGGCATTCACTTGCTGGGCCGATGATAATCTAAATCAAATATTCTTGAAGTTAACGTCGTTTTACACAAACAGTTATACCCCTTTGTCACTCTCGTTTCCCTCAGAGCGAATAAACCTTGCGCCTTTTACTACAGTTTTCCGTGGAGGGGAGCACTCAAATGAGACTATTCTCAATTTTTTGTGAGCCTGGCATTTACTTGCTGGGCCGATGATAATCTAAATCAAATATTCTTGAAGTTAATTCAGATTCCCTTCAGAGCGAATAAATCTTTCGCCTTTTACTAAAGATTTCCGTGGAGGGGCGCACTCAAATGAGACTATTCTCAATTTTTTGTGAGCCTGGCATACACTTGCTGGGCCGATGATAATCTAAATCAAATATTCTTGAAGTTAATTCAGATTCCCTTCAGAGCGAATAAATCTTTCGCCTTTTACTAAAGATTTCCGTGGAGGGGCGCACTCAAATGAGACTATTCTCAATTTTTTGTGATCCTGGCATTCACTTGCTGGGCCGATGATAATCTAAATCAAATATTCTTGAAGTTAACGTCGTTTTACACAAACAGTTATACACCTGGACTACCCCTTTGTCACTCTCGTTTCCCTCAGAGCGAATAAACCTTGCGCCTTTTACTACAGATTTCCGTGGATTTTCTTTTTCGAGCGAATAAAACCCGAACTTATCGCATATAGGGATAGATGTCGCTGCTGTGTTTACTTTGTGGAATTCATACGCTGGCCGGCCCCAAAATACAGACCCTATATTGTTAAGCAACGCCTCGACTACCTGTTTGTCACTCTGGTTTCCCTTCAGAGCGAATAAATCTTTCGCCTTTTACTAAAGATTTCCGTGGAGGGGAGCACTCAAATGAGACTATTCTCAATTTTTTGTGAGCCTGGCATTCACTTGCTGGGCCGATGATATCTAAATCAAATATTCTTGAAGTTAACGTCGTTTTACACAAACAGTTATACACTTGGACTACCCCTTTGTCACTCTCGTTTCCCTCAGAGCGAATGAATCTTTCGCCTTTTACTAAAGATTTCCGTGGAGGGGAGCACTCAAATGAGACTATTCTCAATTTTTTGTGAGCCTGGCATTCACTTGCTGGGCCGATGATAATCTAAATCAAATATTCTTGAAGTTAAGGTCGTTTTACACAAACAGTTATACACCTGGACTACCCCTTTGTCACTCTAGTTTTCCTCAGAGCGAATAAACCTTTCGCCTTTTACTACAGATTTCCGTGGAGGGGAGCACTCAAATGAGACTATTCTCAATTTTTTGTGAGCCTGGCATTCACTTGCTGGGCCGATGATAATCTAAATCAAATATTCTTGAAGTTAATTCAGATTCCCTTCAGAGCGAATAAATCTTTCGCCTTTTACTAAAGATTTCCGTGGAGGGGCGCACTCAAATGAGACTATTCTCAATTTTTTGTGAGCCTGGCATACACTTGCTGGGCCGATGATAATCTAAATCAAATATTCTTGAAGTTAATTCAGATTCCCTTCAGAGCGAATAAATCTTTCGCCTTTTACTAAAGATTTTCGTGGAGGGGAGCACTCAAATGAGACTATTCTCAATTTTTTGTGAGCCTGGCATTCACTTGCTGGGCCGATGATAATCTAAATCAAATATTCTTGAAGTTAACGTCATTCTACACAAACAGTTATAGACCTGGACTACCCCTTTGTCACTCTAGTTTTCCTCAGAGCGAATAAACCTTTCGCCTTTTACTACAGATTTCCGTGGAGGGGAGCATTCAAATGAGACTATTCTCAATTTTTTGTGAGCCTGGCATTCACTTGCTGGGCCGATGATAATCTAAATCAAATATTCTTGAAGTTAACGTCGTTTTACACAAACAGTTATACACCTGGACTACCCCTTTGTCACTCTAGTTCTCCTCAGAGCGAATAAACCTTTCGCCTTTTACTACAGATTTCAGTGGATTTTCTTTGTCGAGCGAATAAAACCCGAAGTTCAAGTACTTATCGCATATAGGAATAGATGTCGTTGGTGTGTTTACTTTGTGGAATTCATACGCTGGCCGGCCCCAAAATACAGACCCTATATTGTTAAGCAACGCCTCGACTACTTGTTTGTCACTCTGGTTTCCCTTCAGAGCGAATAAATCTTTCGCCTTTTACTAAAGATTTCCGTGGAGGGGAGCACTCAAATGAGACTATTCTCAATTTTTTGTGAGCCTGGCATTCACTTGCTGGGCCGATGATAATCTAAATCAAATATTCTTGAAGTTAACGTCGTTTTACACAAACAGTTATACACCTGGACTTTGTCACTCTAGTATTCCTCAGAGCGAATGAACCTTTAGCCTTTCACTACAGATTTCAGTGGATTTTCTTTTTCGAGCGAATAAAACCCGAAGTTCAAGTACTTATCGCATATAGGAATAGATGTCGCTACTGAGTTTACTTTGTGGAGTAATGTAAATAGTACATTAAGAGATTGCAGTTACCAGTTTTATACGTATTCCACTTAAAAAACAACAAAGAAACTCACGCTAACAGGCTTACATCCAGCAATTACTGAATTAGAGGTGTTTGAATTACTGAGTGTACGAGGTATTCTTGTGCAAAAGGTCATACAATTAAAAAAAAACTATTCTGATGGACAAAAACATAATTTTCCAATTTATATATTTTTCTTGAAAAATCGCAGGACATGTCAAAAGTAAAAGAAATAACACACTTAAATGGTCATATTATTAAATGGGAAATGTATAGGCTAAATTTCAAAATCCTACAATGTCATAAATGTCCAAGTTTTGGACATACGTCTTACTCGTGTGATATGAAATATAGATGCATTAAATGCACAAAAGCACATTCTCCTGGCTGCTGCCAAAAATCATCAGAAGAAAAGCCCCAGTGCGTTAACTGTAAAGACTATCACTCAGCAAACTATTCAAAGTGTACATCCTCACTGAATTACAAGGCTATAAAACAACATATTCATGCAGCCATTGAACCCAAACCTATGACAAAAAGCTATTCTGAAACGCTGAAGCCGAGAGATGCCAGACACACTGTCCAGATGGAACTACCAAAATTCCAAGCTATTTCTGAACAAAGAAGTACACCATCAACTTCATCGAATCAAGATCATGATTCCAACTCCACCGTGCTGCAATAAGTCAAATGAAGTTGCTTTTTTTCAGATCCTGAGGTAATAAAAATTTTCAGGGAACTTTATGCACTCACAAAGACTATAAATACCAACATGACATACAATGAAAAATATACTACAATTTTAAACTTTCTTACTAAATGCTCATAATTGACAAGTATGGAATAAAAAATAGCATTGATGAACTCAGACAAACGATCGTTACAATGGACTTAGACATCGTACCAATAAATGAAACTCACTTAAAACCCACTAACAAATTATACATGAACAACTACAGGATGGGGTGGTACAGCAATATTCATAAAAGCTTGTATCAGACATGAAGAACTACCGTTACTATCTGTAAAACACTCTGAAATTACTGCTATAAATGTGTTCAATAGAGGACGTAAAATAACCATTGTCTTCATATATGTTCCTTCTGCAAAACTATTACATGCAGACTTACATAAAATTAAGTACTTAAACAAAATCCATAATATTATTCAACTACATTTTCCTCAAACTCTAACTAGATTTCCTACCATACCAATAGACATAGTACAATAGATTTAGCCCTTACAAAGAACTTATCTATTCTTTCTGAACTTATGACCAAATCTTTATTTAACTCAGATCACAATCCAGTCTTTATAAGTATCTCTAACCCACTTGACGACAATCCTCAGTCCTACAAGAATGCTTTAGACTATAATAAAGCCAATTGGCCGCTCTATAAGAAAATAATAAATAATAATATATGTCACAACAGACAAATCGAGAACAATGATAATATAGATCAAGCTGTAGAATACCTAACAACTACTATTACTGATGCCATAAGTAAAACCATTCCATTGCGAAAGTCCACTTCAACACAAACAATTAGTTTACCTTGGGAAATTATATCCAAAATTAAATTAAAAAGTTGTGGTAAAAATCAGGCGCCACGTTCCTCAAAGGGCATATAAACAGACTTACTAGAATAATTACTGAGGATATTAGGGTTTATCGTAATAAAATATAGGCTGATAAACTAATAAATATTATCCAAATAAAATTTGGTACACTGCAAAAAGACTAACCCAAACTTCTACTCCCATACCATATTTACATATGAATTCCAAAAATTTTGCAACGACACCCGAACAAAAGGCCCAAATTTTAGCATCCAATTTCGAATTAGCACATCAGTACAATCTTTCTATTGCTCAAAATGCTTTTGAACATACTGTTAGTTCCAGGGTAAGACAATATATAAACGATACTGGTAACATAAATCACAAAATAGAGATAGTGACAGTTGCGGAAGTTAAAAATATTGTTAAGAAACTGTCTAACAAAAAAGCTCGGGGACCAGATAGTATACAGAACTTAGCAATTAAACAGTTACCTATTAAAGCTATTATTCTACTTATACGAATAACGAATAATATGTTCACAAATGGATCCTGAACGACACAAATAAAAGTATCTTTTTTTGGTTTATTTTCCATAGCAAACTATACCTAGTACATTCAGCTATATATTATTACAGCGTGAGAAAAATAAAATATATATTAAAATAAAAATATATATAAAAATAAAATATATTATTTGACAGCGTGAGAAAAATAAAATTATCTAATAATTTAAAGTATGTAAATTAAATATATATTTAAAGACTGTGTTTTTTGTTGATTGTAAGCTGAAGGACCAGATAGAATTAGTGGCTCTATCGACCGTTTAAAATGTAAATATTGAATAATAACAAATAGATTTACACTTATTTATTTATAGAATATAATTTACACTGTTTGTGATAAAGTTTTAGTATTGATATAATATTGGAATATTTGAATGTGGATAGCTTGGCGACCGGGTTAAGACTATATTGTTAGTGCCGGCTTCAGGTATTTAGCAGGACCCTTTGTAGTTGAATCTTGAGATGCAAATTGCCTATGCGTCGTTGCAAATGTAATATTTTCTTAGAAAATATGAGTGCAGCGTTGTCACGTCTAATTTGGCGTGAACATTCTCCCCCCCTTGAAATAATATAGGGTATATGATTTCAAAATTAGAATTATAGTTTAACACTTTGAGTTAATAACAGTCTATTGGTTTGATTTATATTGTCTATTGTTTTGGTAACACACAAACTCGATTAATTGCACGTTTGAGTACACCATTTTGTGTCTTGATTGTCACAACACGCACAAGTCCATCATCTCCTGGATGTGTGTCAAGAATACGCCCCAATCGCCAGTGTAGTGGAGGTAAATTGTCTTCTCTGACCACTACCATATCGCCTACCTCAGCTGGTTGCGATGGTTGAACTTGCCATTTTGTTCTTGCCTGCAGCTCCGATACGTATTCTTTGTGCCAACGCTTCCAAAAATGTTGCACAAGTTTCTGTAGTCGTTGATACCGAGAAAGCCTGTTATCAAGGGTTTCAAGCACTGATGGATCGGGAGTAGATGTTAAGGATTTTCCAATAAGAAAGTGACCAGGAGTTAAGGGATCATAGTCATTGGGATCGGAGCTTAAGGGAGAGATTGGTCTCGAGTTTAATATTGCTTCGATCTGTGTCAAAACCGTATAAAAATCTTCAAAAGTTAAAATAGCATTACCCAATACTCGCTTTAAATGAGCCTTACACGACTTTATGCCCGCCTCCCAAATTCCTCCAAAATGAGGAGAGTTTGGTGGAATGTGCTTCCATGACACGCCTTCGTTGGTCATATCATTAACAATCTTATTTTGATTTGATTTTGTTTGCAAAAATTTATAAAGCTCCTTTAATCCTGATGCTGCGCCTATAAAATTTGTTCCATTATCGGAATAGATTTCGCGAGGTTTTCCGCGTCGCGCCATAAATCGTTTAAAAGTGGCTAAAAAACTATTCGTAGTTAAATCAGATACTAATTCGATATGTATTGCTTTTGTAACAAGGCACACGAACAAACATATGTAAGCCTTAAATTTTTTGTATCCTCTTGTTTGACGATCTCTTAATAAGATAGGACCTCCGTAATCTACTCCGCATATAAAGAAAGGTGACTGCGGTGTAACGCGATATTTAGGCAAATTGCCCATTACTGGATTAATAAATGTGGGTTTTACCTTAAAACATGTTACGCATTTTTTCACGATCGATCTTGTCAGGTTTCTGCCTCCGATAGGCCAATAAGTATTACGCAACGCATTTAATAACATCTGTGCTCCGCAATGATACAGTTTTAAATGCTCATGCCTAGTTATTAGAATAGTCAATTGATGATTTTTTGGTAGTATTATCGGATGGCATTTATCATACGGTAAATTTGAATTCTTTATCCTACCGCCGACGCGCAATATTCCATTTTTGTCTAAAAACGGTGTTAATGATTTTAATTTCGACGATTTGTGTAATGCTTCCCCACGCGCGACTATATCTATGTCTTGTTTGAATATTTCATATTGTGATATTTTTATTAACTTGTTTAGTGAATTATTGAATTCATCGACCGTGAGTGGGCCATACAGTAGTTCTTTTTCTTTCTTCTTTAGTTTTAAATTTTGTAAAAATCGATAACAAAAAGCAGTTACGCGCACGAGTTTAATAAGGGAAGAGTATAAGAAAAAATGTTCGTTATTGTTAATTTTTGTACAAGTCAAACTTGTGATTTGACTTTCGACATCAGTTTCAGGAATTGAAATATTGTCAGTTGCACGTCGCTGTGTTTCAGTTAGATTTTGTAGCCAAGATGGGCCTGCCCACCACAAGGATGAATTCAATAAATCATGTGTATAGCACCCGCGTGATATGAGGTCCGCTGGATTGTCCTCCGATCGGACATGTAACCAGTTATTTGCGTCGGTTTTTGTTTGAATATCAGAAACTCTATTGGCAACGAAGGTTTTCCATTTATAAGATGGAGATCTTATCCACGAAAGAGTGATAGTGGAATCGCTCCAATAGAATTCTTTGTCAAACGCGATATTTAATGCACGTTTCGTTATTTGCGCAAGATTTGCTAGTAGTTGTGCCGCACAAAGCTCGAGACGGGGAAGTGTAATATTTTTCAATGGTGCTACTCGAGATCTTGCCGCTATTAGTTTGATTTTGATTTCAGAATATTTGTTAATAGACCGTACATATATACACGCGCCGTAAGCTTGCTCCGATGCGTCAGCAAAGCCATGTAATTCTGTGTTTATACGATTATTACAAAATATATGTCTTTCAATTTTCACGTTTTTAATAGATTTTATTTCGAAACAAAACTGTTTCCATTTATTTTCTAGTTCCGAAGGAATGGGCTCGTCCCATGATAAGTTTAATCGCCATAGGCTTTGAATTATTAGTTTTGGTATGACGATAATTGGAGATAAAAAGCCCATAGGATCGTACATTTGCGCTGTTGCCGATAAAATGGATCTTTTACTAACTATTTGATTTATTCTTATATTTTTGTAGTCAAATTCAAAACTGTCCGTTACCGAATTCCAAGATATACCTAAAGTTTTGATAGTTTGTTCACCGATGTTTAAAGTTGGATTATCTGCATTTAAAAGTTTTGAATAATTAGAATTAAATTTATATAGATTGAATTTAGCTTGTTGTAAAATATTACAAAGGTTATTTTTAATAGTGAATAATTCGGATATGCTATCAGTTCCAGTTAATAAATCGTCAACGTAGAAATCATTTCTGAGAATTTCGCATTCCTTTGTATAGTTAGTTATGTTTTCTCTGGCTAACTGCTCCAAACAGCGTATGGCTAAAAACGGCGCAGAAGCTGTCCCGTATGTAACTGTATTTAATTGATAAATTTTTAATTTGCTATTAGGATTGTCCCTCCAGAATATTCTTTGCATTTTTCTGTCGTTTTCGTGAACCAAAACTTGTCTGTACATTTTTTCTATATCAGCTGTAAGTACAAACGCATGTCTTCTGAATCTTAGTATAATAGAGAAAATATTGTTTTGAATTGTGGGTCCAACAAGTTGTAGTTCATTCAACGACAGGCCTGCATCGGTTTTGCAAGATGCATCGAACACTACACGCAATTTCGTTGTTAAACTGTCTGGTTTTATCACCCCGTGGTGAGGCAAATAGAAACACGTCGCGGGTTCGGAAGATTCGTTGACTTCGCTCATGTGCCCTAGTGTTATATAAGTATTCATGAAATTTTTGTATTCGTTAAATAGATTTTTGTTTGTTCGTAAACGGTTTTCAAGTGAAATAAAACGTTTAAACGCGATTTGCTTACTATTCCCTATTTTTTTTATATTGTCTGTAAACGGAATTTTAACTATAAATCTCCCGTCGTTTGCCCGCGTTGTATTGGCAACAAAATGCTGTTCGCATTGTTTTTCTGATTCGGTAAAATGTTGTATATCGCTGCACGCTTCCAGTTCCCAGAATTTTTGAACTTGATTTTCTAAATTAGCCGTATGATGACATATCGTAAAAGAACTGGAATTGTTGAGAGGTACGCTGCCAGCAATAACCCACCCGAACTGTGTATTTTGCAAAATAGGTCTATTTTTTCCTAGATGAATATATCCTTTACAAAATATATTCCAAAATATTTCCGAACCTATTAAAATATCGATTTTATTGCTTTTATTAAATGTGGGATCCGCTAATTTTATATAATTTGGGATATTCAAAATATTTTTATTGAATGATACCGTCGGCAAATTATTTGTTATATTATTTAAGATAAAGCAGGATAGATCTAATGAAAAGTTATTAATGCACGATTTTAAAGTAATTGTTGTTTTTGACTTAATTTCCGTTGAATTTTGATTTATTCCCCGGACTGACATATTTATTGATTGTTTATGTAAACCGAGCTCATTAGCAAACTTCTCCGTGATGAAATTGGATTGTGATCCCGAATCTAATAATACTCTACATGCTCTATATCTATTATTGCTATCTAATACATTAATTACTGCGGTAGATAAGATGATTTGACTTGAATCATTTTCGGTATGGCACGAAACATTTTGTGGTGCATTATTAACAGCTGGTAATTGGCTTGAGTCTATATGCAGAAGACTATGATGATTTGAATTACAAAAGGCACAACGATTTAAAGAAGTACATTGATCGCTGTTGTGATTGTAACGTAAGCAATTCGTGCATAGTTTTAATTGATTTACTTTGCTTACTCTATCTTCTGGAGATAGTGTCCGAAAACCTTGACATTTGAACGGTGAATGAAATGGCTCTTTGCAAATTGGGCAAATATTTTTGTGATTAGTGGATGTAACGTAAGACTTTGTATGTTTTGCATAATTAGGTTTTATATCTTTAAATTTACTGGAGTTTCCGATTCTTGTTTCAGTCGGATTAATTGCTTCTAATATTGTGCAGCGTTGATTTAAAAAATTGCTAAGTTCGAAAAATGTAACTAGTTCAGAGCCTTTATTCATTAACATCTCCCACTCTTGATGAGTTTTCTTATCAATTTTAGAAATTACAAGATAATTTAATAACGCGTCCCATTGATCGACGGGTTGTTGTAACATTTTTAAGCATCTTAAATGTTTATTAAACGCGTCTATTAGATTACGAAGGTCTTTACCTGATTCGTTATGCATTGGCGGGTGATCAAATAATTTTTTAATGTGATTGTTTACGATTATTTTCTTATTTTCGAAACGCGTTTTCAGTAAATCCCATGCAATTATATAATTATCGGCAGTTGCCGGTAGGGATTCTATAAGGCTTGCCGCCTCTCCTTTTACGCATGATTTTAAATAATAAAATTTTTGAGAATTACCGATGTTACAATCATTATGAATTAAAGAAGAAAACGAATCATAAAATTGTAGCCAATTTAAGTAAGAGCCGTCAAACTGAGGTAAATTGATTTGAGGTAGTTTTATGTTGTTCGAATTATTTGTTATAGTGGTGTCATTAGAATTACTATTCGAACTAGTATCCGACTTACTTGATGCTGCCTGACTAAGTTTAAGTAAAGTTGATAAACAATCATTATGTTTTTCAAAAAATTCATCTAACTCTATTTCTATTAAATTATTAATTTGACTTTCGTCTTCTAGTAATGCTGTTATACTAATTACGGTATTTTCAAAGATTTCAAACAAAGGCTTCACATCATCGATAAGGCGTTTTATGTCTGCAATATTTAAGTCGCAAGCAGGTAGTTCCGACATTTGCCTGCACACTTTTTCGTATTTTGTTAAACGTGTTTTAGTAACTCGCTGTTTCATTTTGAGTTTATTTAATGATTCCATTTTGACACAGATTGAATTAAAAACTCTAAATATTAAATAAGGAAAGATTGATAGGAAGGAATGCTTGACTAACCTGATATACTCGCTGCTTGCTGTGCTCGCTCGTAGGTGTAGCGCCAAAGTTAGAACTTCCTGTCTTGTTTAGAACTTTCACTTTATTTAATTTTTGATTTAGATTTAAGATTTTAATTATTTTCTTCGCACTGGTGACGCATCCGGTTCGTTTTGGACCAATGTTTTTTGTTGATTGTAAGCTCAAGGACCAGATAGAATTAGTGGCTCTATCAACCGTTTAAAATGTAAATATTGATAATAACAAATAGATTTACACTTATTTATTTATAGAATATAATTTACACTGTTTGTGATAAAGTTTTAGTATTGATATAATATTGGAATATTTGAATGTGGATAGCTTGGCGACCGGGTTAAGACTATATTGTTAGTGCCGGCTTCAGGTATTTAGCAGGACCCTTTGTAGTTGAATCTTGAGATGCAAATTGCCTATGCGTCGTTGCAAATGTAATATTTTCTTAGAAAAATATGAGTGCAGCGTTGTCACGTCTAATTTGGCGTGAACAGACTGTGATTTTTTTTTGTAAGAATGTTTCAACTATCTTTTTTTTCGATCACAAACCGTTATTTTATTTTATACAAAATGTGTAATTTAAAGTGGATAATTTGTAGAATTAAGTTAGAGTAAAATACTTTTAGTAGTAAACTCATAAAGCATTGTTATTGTATATTATATTGAAATAAAACAAAAATAAACTAAAAAAAATAATTAAGCAATGCAAAGAATTCTCAATAAACACCGAGACCACATTACCAAAGATTTTAAATCCAATAAATATCTTCAGAACCGATAAAAGATACAATTCTGAACACGACGACAGATTTCCTCAGAAACTGCGAATTTAGGTCAATTCTAATCATAACTAGTGGTGCATGGCATCGTGCCTTAAGACAAATTGCGGGAACTTCCCGTACCGCAATCAAAAATTTTGGTGCGAAACTCAAAAAAATTACACAAAATGTGTACACATTATTAAAATCTTTATAAAATATCTGATAATTTGATGTATATATGTCCAATAAATATTTTTGACTGCAAAATGTCATTTTTTTAACTTATTTTTATTAAGAGTCCATAACCGCTGGACCTGCCTTCCCAAAATTTCAAGATTTCATTTGTAAGCTCAGGAAATAAAGCCCGGCATTTATTTACTGGACTCACAATTTAATTTTTAGTTGTAATAAATATTAATTTGTATATTTTTGATACAATATTTATTTGTACAGCCACTTCTTGTCGATGGTTACAAATTTGATCTCCGAGTGTACGCTCTCATAACATCCTGCGATCCTTTGAGGATGTACGTGTACGAAGACGGCCTTGTGAGGTAAAGGTCTGTTTCTCTATTTTTAATTTGTTATCTACCAATATAAACTAATAAATTGAAAAATGTTTGTTTGATTAAAATTATTATTTTGATGTTTTTTAGATTTGCTACTAGCAGATATAAGGAGCCGTGCGGACATAACACCACGAACGTCTTCATGCATTTGACTAATTACGCGGTCAATAAGCATAGCAGGACGTTTGTTGTTGACAGTGAAAGTGGCAGCAAAAGGTATAAAATATATGTTTTATCTTAATTTTATTACTATATAAGATAGTTTTTGAAAGCATGAAGCCAACGCGTGTCCTTATCGAGATTCATGGAATGGCTTTTAAATTTTTCACATGAGTGCAGCCGTTTTTTAGAAAACTTAGACGATAGATCAAATTTTTATTCAGAATGACTTGAAATGTTGAGAAAACATAAAATTAACAATTGAATTTTCCGACAAAAAGAAACTTTTTTTTCGAAGTTAATAAAATTTGTCTGTGTTTAATTTTTCTACTAGGAAGATATCAAGCTTGAACCGTGACCTCACATCTCGAGGCATTGATTTAAAATCACTTTGGCATAATATCGATGATGTGATTGTAAAGACTGTTGTGTCGGCTGTTCCAATTTTGAGGCACAGCTACAATGCTTGCTTCAAATCACACGATTATGCCCAAGCCTGCTTCGAAATCCTAGGATTTGATGTACTAATTGATGCAAAGATGAAACCTTATGTGCTCGAGGTAAGACGGAAAAAATAAAATCTTAAAGATTAATTAGCTAACACCTAAAACAATTTGCATTCATGAGATTACGCATTATAAGAGGGTTACTGCATATAAAAAATATTTGCGCTCGATGTCACAACGAGATAAAACAAAATTAGTATATTTTTAATTAGACGTATACGAAATGAATTGACGTTTACATAAGAGGAATTTTATATTATTATTTTGAATTTGCTCGGACACATCTGACGTACTTGGTCTCTTTTGTCTTATTAGAATTATAATATAAAAGAGTTATAAAACATAAAGGAGTAATAAAAGTCTTAAAAAGTTAGTTAAATATGGTATCATCAGTGCTTTAAGAAAATAAGTAGTAGCTTATAAGTATTTAGAGGTCTTGCTTTCAAGGCTTCACATCCAAGTCTTTTTTGTTGGTTTCCACATTTTTTTCATTATTTTATTTATTTCCAGGTGAACCATTCTCCTAGTTTCCACACGGATTCGCAGATTGATCGTGAAATCAAAGAATCTTTGCTGTACGATACATTTAGTCTTCTGAATCTGACACATTGTGACAAACGCAGAGTGATGGAGGAAGACAGGAGAAGAGTGAGGGACAGACTGCTGCAAGGAATCAACAAAGACATGCCGAAAGATTTGTAAGTATAATAAATATTATTACTACTAGCTGACCCGGCAAATATTGTTTTGCCAAGTAGGGTATTTCTAAACAATTTCTAGAGAATCAAATAAATTAATACTTTATTTTAAGTGTGTAAGGATATGTTGTTTGAATAGACAATGAGGCAATATAAAAACAATAAAACCCCAAAGTCTACCTGTTCAATATTATATAGTTTATATTAATAATAGTCGTTCATACGTATATTATTTTTAATACTGCTTTATGAAAAGTTTTAAGTAACATTCCATGAATTACATTAAATTTAATAATAATTATATATGTGGGGTAGAGCGGGGCACAAATGTCCACTTTGACTTTGAGCAAATGTAATTTATATTATTAAAACCAAGTTAATTATATAATAGCAAAGAACACATATCAAGCAAACAATTATCTGACTATGTTCAGTAAAACTGCTAGCTTCATTGTTGTGTTTTACAAAAAATTAATATCTAGACCATTTTACCCCAAAGGCGGGGTAACTTGGGACGGTCAGGTGGCAAACAGGTTCAATATCTTTTTTTAACTTTAAAGGTATTTTACAAAATAATTACATCATTCAATTAATGTAAAATATAAGTTCTATATGTTCCACAGATATCACTGTCAATACCTTGATCTGGTATTTTGTCAGAAATATGTATCAACAGAGTTGAAATAAGTATTTTGTAAAATTGCTTTATTCAACTTAATTTACTTGGTTATTTGCTATTTTTTATTTTTTACAACTTTATCAGGGTTAATGTTCGGTTTTTATATAACCACTTTAAAACCTTAACCTACACAAATGTAAGCTTTTAAACCGCTTTTAAATAAAACTGTTAAATCTCACTTAAAATCATCATTACATTTTACATAACGTATAGTTCAAACTCATATTAAGTTCTCGTAAATTAAATCATAGTGCTCACAACCCAAACAACTAACAACGAAAGAAAAAATTTTTATTATGGATTTTCAAAGATTACCATTTATCTCCCGATAGCAAAGTCATAAGAATCAAGGTTATAGCTGGTTATACATCTTTTTCCCTCTACTTTCAAATATTGTTATTGAACGATGCTTAACTGTACTGGTTTTTGAGATATGGGTGGCAGACCTTATTAAACCCGGATCTTTTTATATGACTATCCATTCTTCGATAAATATATTGCAAATTCGATAAATAACCATTATTGAATTATATTTTTACATTGTATTATCCAATCGTTTAATTTAATACGAACTTCTAGAGCTGAAGTTTTTCATCTTTTTCAATTTTTGAGTAATTTAATGAAGCATAAGATGCATAGATTTTGACATATGGTTTGGAAGGAATTTCTTCAAAATTATAGGACATTTGTCAAGCTTTATAAACATATACATAGTAAAACATTTTTATGCCAAACTCATTCTAATTCTGGAATTGTTAATGCATTTAATAGAATGCGAGCTTTATAATCAATTTTCAAAATATTTCATTTCAGATAACTTGTAATTTTGTGCATTGACATTTTTACGGGTGTGTTTATAAGTTATATCTTGTCAACCGAATCTACTTATTTAAATTGTTGTCTATTATAACTGGGAATATGTCCTCTTTGATCGATTCCAAATTTAGACTATTAATTTAAATAACATAATAAAAACTTAATATAATCTAGAAATAGTTTTATAAATATCAATGAATATATAGTTACACAAATGAGTTCTTTCAGAGCACCGAGTTTGAGAAAATATGATTTGCAAAAAAAAAACGCTATAACGCCAAAAAGTGCATTCTTATAACCGTCCGCCGTCGATTGTTTCATTTTAAATTACTTTACGTCAAAAATTTTTGAATTGAAAATGTGAAGTTTCTACGCGGATTTGATTTAATTTCTCATCTTTTACACAATCGTTGGATTAGCACGAATATTTCAAGACTGAGATTGGCCAAATCCGCACAGCCATATTAGAGTTTTATAATACTTAACATTTCATTGAGCTCCATTTTTATATATTAGATAAAAATTACTGCAAAACTGGCCAAGCAGCTTCAGATCATCCTAATTTCTAACTTAGTGTTCATGATTTTTTTTCTTCAGACGTACGGCTGTATGAAGAATTAATATAAGCGTTTCTTATAATTTTGTGTAAGTGCATTTAATTCATTCTTTGGGGTTGATTAGTTTTGGTAATTCTTCACCAATGTTACAAGTGTTCAAGTTCATATTTTTAGATCACGCGCTTTACTATACTATTACTAAATTATGATCTTAATGTTTTGCAATACCTATTAATATCTTAGAATTTATAGCTACTGCAAAACATTGGTATGATGAAATTCATTAAAATTATGTAATGACCTTATACATGGTGAGATAGTTTTTTCTCTAAAAAATTGTAGTCTGCTAACTATAACAATTTGCCCTTTGTTTTGGGACTTTAACTAAAACTACGCTTCAAATTTTGTAGAAATTTATTTCAAAATTGCCTCCACCATAAAGTAAATGTTTTCTTAGTAGATAGTCTGTATTTCGAAAAAAACTGCTTAATTCCACTATTTCTTAAAAAATAGTAAATAGTAAAAAATAGTATGAAATAGCAAATTTTATTCTTATGTTAACACTATTTCTAAATTTACCATTGAACATACAACAAACCCTTATACATATAGAAATAGATTATTGAAAATATGTTGTATTTAGCAAAAAATTTTACTCATATTGCTACTGATTTTAAAATGAAAGATTAAATACCTAATTAAGCAAAGTTTGTTTCGCGATTTGATAATTTCGTTTTCTCGACATTTCAAGTCATTTTGAATCGAATGAGAACAAATTTGGAAAAAATATGTGCATTTGAGCAGATTGTTGACCTTTTTTAAAAAGGCTAGACGGATTTCAAAAGTTAGAAGCCATTTAATGTAACTGGATAAAGGCTAATGCTCGTGATATTTGTACGGCGATCGGACAAGCCGTTTCTTTGTAATTAGCGGAAAAGTATAATAATTTGATTTTTTACCTCCAAATGCCTTGTTTTACTTTTTTATTGGATCTCCAAAACCGCTGAACCTGTCGTCCCAGAAATTTAATCATTTCTTCATTTCGTAAATAGAACTAAAATGTTTTTTGAATTCAAATTGGACGCTTCAGCACTTTTTGCCCCGTATCTTCGAAAAGGCTGGGAGTGCCTTTGGCAAAACTAATTGGCCAGTCTCCTCACCAATTTGAATCGAATGTTTTTTGAATCATTCAAATTGGTTGATCCGTGCTTTCGACATCGTCAACGAAAAATTGTATCCACACACGACACACATACATTCATTTTTTATAAGGTATGCCAAAATGTTCAGAAGTTCCTGAAACTCAAAGATAAGTAAAAAAAATCCATTTTCGACTTTTTAGCGATAACTATCGTATATAACTTACCCTACGAGAAAGTAAAAAATAGAAAATGAAATTTTTTGCATATCTCTACTTTCTTACGCATCTTCAGTTACCATAAACTTTAAAATGTAAATAATTATTGAAAAAAATAAAAATTTTATATGTTACAGTCTCAAATTTTAATCGGCAGTATATTGCAGCTTTTTAATATTAAAAATGTGATACAATGCAGTCATAAATTTCAGTCATATAATGCATTCATACATTTTTCATTATTGTCATAAACTTTAATATTGTTCACAAGCTCAACTATATTATTGTGATAAGTTATGATATTTTATTATAATTTTGGAATGAAATAATAAATAAAATAATCAAAATAATTTTGCATCGGCCGGGAATCGAACCCGGGCCGCCCGCGTGGCAGGCGAGCATTCTACCACTGAACCACCGATGCTTGTATAATACGAATCGCAGTACACGAAGAGATTAATATGCCGATGTAATTTTTTGCATCTTTAATATCATTGTAACGAATAAAAAAGTTTTTATAAAATCGTGAGTTTTCTGAAAAATAGTTTGTTGTACTAAAGTAGTGAATCTGCTGGAATCATCAAGAGGTCTATAATAAAGTGAATTCTAGATGGAATGTGAATTACTTTAATTCTGGTGGAAATTGCGCTCATTAACCCATATGATTTAAAAGAAAAAAACTTCGTATATGCTTCTTATTTGCATTATAGCTCACTCATTTTACACGCTAAAAACTTGTAACAGCACTCAATTTAAAGCTTATGTTGAGCACTATAAAACCCAGTTTCACCGAAATGCATAAAATGTAAAACCTCGCCACTAGATGGCTTCAAATACAACAATTAAATCTTAACGAAATAAAAAACGACTTTGCTCTTTCAAATCTGCTTAATATTTTTCCTAGAACACTTTATGTAATACCGATTATTAACTTCCCGTAGGGCAAGTTATAGTAATCGCAAAAAAATCGAAAATGAAAATTTTTATATATCTTTACGTTTCAAAGCCTTCTGAACATTTTGGCATACCTTAGAAAAAAAGAATGGATGTGTGTGTGTGTATGTATGTATGTATGTGCGTGTGTGTATGTATGTGCGGATACAAATTTTCGTCAACGATTTCGGGAACACGGATCAACCGATTTGAATAATTCAAAAAACATTCGATTCGTATTGATAAGGAGACGGCTGATTAGTTTTTTGGCGAAGGCACGTCTAGCCGTTCCGAAGATACGGGGCAAAAAGTGCCGAAAACGGTAACTCAGTTTTTAAGAGAACGGAGCGTCCGATTGAATAATTCAAAAATCATTTTACTTGTATTGACAAGGTGAAGAATTGATAAAATTTTCATGAAGCAAGTCCAGCGGTTTCAGAGATCTAATGAAAAAGTAAAAAAAAAATGCATTTGGCGGTCAAAAATGATCATTAGACATAAGCACATCAAATTATCAGATATTTTATAGAGATTTTAACAATAAGTATGAATTTGGTTTACAGTCCTATGGGTTCCGTACCAATGTTTACGCGTTAGACGGCGACGCGGCGCTTACGCGCTTTGATATTTCGTCTTTATGCAGTTAAAGCAGTACGATTGCTTGGAA